GCTGTGACAAAACCAAGTCCATCCTCACTGTTAGGCTTGAATTGCTAGTTTGTCATCCAAATCAGTATTAAAAATCCCCAAGACTTTTTAGCAGCTTCCTAGTCCAACTGCATATGCTCACACATGTCTGAGTCTACATTTTGCAGCACATACTGGCCTACATCCATGCTCCAAGTGGTGGCCCTCAGGGGTATGTATTGGGACCAGTACTGTTTAGTATCTTCATCAAAGACATAGCGGGATTGAGTGCACCTTCAGAAAGTTTGCAGACGCCACCAAGCTGGGTGGTGCTGTTGACGTGACTGAAGGACAGGACCTCGACAAGCTCAAGAAGCCCAGGGGAACATCATGAGGTTCAACAAGGACAAGTGCAAGGTCCTGCACCTGGGTCAGGGCAAACCTTAGTATCAATACAGGCTGGGGGGATGAAGGGATTTAGGAGCAGCCCTGCCAAGGACATGAGGGCATTGGTGGATGAAGAGCTGGACATGAGCTGGCAGTGTGCACTTGCAGCCCAGAAGGCTAACAGCATCCTGGGGTGCATCAAAAGAAGCATGGCCAGGAGGTCAAGGGAGGTGATTCTGCCCCTCTTGTGAGACCCCACCTGGGGTACTGTATTCAGCTCTGGAGCCCTCAGCACAGGAAAGACATGGACCTGTTGGAGTGAGTCCAGAGGAGGGCCACAAAAATGATCATAGAAGAGGTGTTCCATCCCTCTGAGGACAGACTGAGAAAGTTGGGGTTGTTCAGCCTGGAGAAAAGAAGCCTCAGGGGAGACCTTGTTGTGGCCTTTCAATACTTAAAGCGGGCTTATAAGACGAGAGACAGACAGGTCAGGTTGGATGGGGGTCTGAGCAACCTGAGGTCTGAGCAACCTGATCTCACTGAAGATGTCCCTGCTCATTGCAGGGGTAGCTGGACTGGATGACCTTTAAGGTCTTTTCCAACCTGACCCATTCTATGAAAACATTGTATCACACCACAACTTCAAGTAAAGCTTGCAGTCTAAGTTGAGGCATAATTGCATATAAAATCAGGATTCCTTAGTGCTAGTACTAATATTTTTTTTTTGTTTATCCAACAGCTACTTCATTTCCAACATCCACAAAAAAAAAAAAATCAGTAACTAGGAACCTCCTTTGAGGGCATTCATATTAGTTAGTACCTTGGACAAGGTTTAATAGCTGAAGTCTGCTTTCATTTTAAAGATGTGTCTTCAGGGTGTTCTTTGGCTCTTTCCTTAAATATCTCAATATTGTTCAAAATCCTTTCCATTTCTCAAGTGGGAATTTGCAGATCGAATAGTATCTGGACTGTCCAATTCTTGAGAAGTACTAGTCAAGACAAAGAAGAGCAGGAATAAATCACATTTGCCAGCCTGGTGCTTAAAGTCTTTTGCAAGTTATATCAAACAGATATTGGGAGTGGCAGAGGGAGACATAAATCTTAAGCAGAAACCTTTATCAATCTGTTCAGTAGTGGAGAGGACAAGGACACTTTTAAGCACCTTAAACCTCAGGGTAAAACATAGTTTAGATTTTGGCCCAGGAGCTTCCAGAGCAAATACTGAGTTTTCCATAAGTTTCCAAGGACTCTAAATTTGAGTATTTTCATTAGTCTCCTTCATGTCAAGCATGAGTTTTCTATAATGACAGCCTACATGTTTAATACATCAGAGGCAGAGCAAATTAACAGGATACAAACAGAACCCTTGGCTATACCTACTTTGCTCAAGGCAGAAATAGCATGTAGATTTCAGCAATACGAAAACAATGACATTTGAATCAGGTTCCATTACCATTTTTAAAAGCAACTACCTGTTTTTTTTGCCCAAAGCCAGTGAGGAACATACAAGTCTTGTCAGAGCTGAAAGGGGTCACCCCTTCTCTAAAGGCAAAGGTCTTCCTCTAAATCTAAACAAAAATAATATGTAATTAGGTCCTTAAATAAGAATCAACGCTCCATGTGCCCAGCACTAGGAACTAAGACTTCAACTGCTGCATGGATTTCTTGAGCTGTCTCTACTAATCTAACCCAATTTAGCTGCAATATTTCCCAGATCTGTCAGGGGAAAAGGAAAAAATGGCACAAAAGGTTTTCCAAAGGCAGTAGAAAGGACAGTAGCTTAACTAGCATCAAAGCCAAGTGATACCTTCTACTCACTGGCCTTCTGCTATTAGCCATTGTAGTATACATTGCTGTACTATAAAAATACTTCTGCAAAATTAGTTAGTTTCCAAACCACTCAAAGAATGTGGATCTCATGTCTGTAAAATCTGGGATACGGGACAGAGCCATCTATTAGTATTCACAACTGCTCACTCAGCCTCCCTGAACATATTTTCAGAGATACATGAGAAGTCTAGAGATGCAACACCAAAAACCTACGACGTCTTGCCAGGAATGCAGTCAAAGAATAAGCAAGACAACATTTTGCTTAGTTAAGATGTGTGAGCAACTGCAGGTTCAAGAAACCTCATCAGCTTACTCATTCGCCTACATCTCCTCCACTCATGCAGCAATTAAGAACTGAGTGATGCCTCCTCTCATGGCCATACAGATCTACTTTACTCATGCAGTCCTTAGTTCTACTCATACAGCTAATCTACATGTTTTCTTGATAAATTCTCCCCAAAATAAGGCAGACTTTGTTTAACAATAAATTCAGTAAAGGGTGTTTGTAAAAGTCACAGATTCTAAAAATGTCACGAAACTCTTTGGCTTGCCAGATAACATTTAATTACAATGTCATTGTATTACCTTATTGTCATCATCCTTTCACTTAGTAGGGCTTTTTACCTTAAAACCCAGTTTTGTCCTAAGCAAGAAGCAAACTGCAGTCTTTGGCGCTTTTCCAAAAGCTCACAATCTTGTTGCTGTAAACATGTGCACCTAACAGGGCATCTTGGTGAGCAGTTAAGACTTCAAAAACCACTGGGGTCCAGTTACTGATTATCAACTCCAAAAGCAGGAAAAAAGCAGAGCCACATGGGCCCATAAACTGACTGTGAAGATTCTCTTAGGAATCATGTGTTTAAGCCTTCACCAAAACAATTCTTGTTCCATCTACAGAGGAATACATCACAAACCATACCTTAGAAGAAATATTGCATATATATACCCCCCCAATATTTATACATAATAGATTTTTAAACATATTACCAAATTGTCTTTTGTTTTTGTGTATGCATGTGCACACATGCAGGCATGTTTTTTAAAAAGTAAGGTGTCCTTACAAAGCTCCCTACCATGACTGCAATCCAGGAAAGTTCAAGCTCACAGCTAATATCCATAAATTATGACAAACACATTAATTAGCCCAAAGCTTGCATGACCAGTTAATCTTCATAGTAATAATACAACTCAGTTCAATACTGAACTAGGTTCACATTAAACAAAAAACCTTTGCTGTGTCTCACTTGTCTTACCACTCTGAACCTTTTAATATAAACAATTTTGTTCTTAAAGGCCTGCTATGCTAACCTGAAATCATTTCTTTAAGAGCCCCTTCCCAGTGTTTTCTTCCAAGGTCACATACCTCCAATGAGCTTCACGAGCAGATTTCCAAGACAAAGTACAGTATGCTGCATGCCTATATAATATTCAATGAATAAATGTACTTGTCCTTGTGGAAGTGCATGGGCTGAGGGATAATGGAAAAAAGATCAGGAACCCCTTTTTTAGTAAACTATGTTCTATCACATTTTTAAACTTGATTATCAGCTGTGGAACAGTAATCAATTTTCTTTTAGCATTAAATCTCTTAGCCACAGGAAAATACTACTTACAAATGAACTCAGTTTATTACTAACTTAGAAGCTTACAGTTGTTTTCCAGTTAATTATAGATCCATTAGTTGAGTCTCCCTGATGCGACATAATGTTGTAACTTCAGTATGCACGAGTCACTCCTACTCTAGAAAGGATAAACACTAAGCCATATATGCTCCTTAGAGACACAGGGTGGGGAGGAAGTCAGGTCAGAAATCACATATGAGCTCAACTACAGTTGGTCCTTTTCATCACAGCGACTGAAGTTTCCATGACCCTAATTTTAAGTTTTCAGGAAGTATAACTTTTACTTACACACACTTAGAGAAGAGTATAAATGCCACACAAGACTCATTAGAAATATAGAATTTATTTCTCTTTACATTCAGACAGTAATATATTGCAGATTTGCACATGCCACATCTTGTATCACAGGTGACTTATGGGTCCTATGTTTATAGTTGTGATAGCTATTGCTAGCCCAGATCAACACCAAATGTGTTTCTGGAGTGGCTCTCGAGATCATTAAGCCATTAGCAGCAATTTTTGCAAAGGGTAGTCTTGAAAACCCACTTCATAAAAATTCATCTGTCATAGGCCACATTTTCCAGCTGCTTACTGTATCTTACCTTTACACCTCCAGATCTCAAGAAAGCAATTTCAACAGTAGCAGTGGACAGGGAGATTGAGGACTTGCCCCTTATCCTCCCCTCAGGCAGCAGTTCTCAGTAAAGGCAATACCATGTTATAAGGCCACCAAATTCCTCATGGTCTGTGAACTGTGCTTTTGGCAGGGCAGCTCCTTTCCCATTCTCTAGGGTGTGTAGCCCTTGCTCCCCTTACCCCCCTTGCACATCCAGGTGCAAGCTAACCAAAAGAGTCAATCTTACAGCTCTGATAACATCCTAAAATATGTTAAGTCATCTACGACTAAAAGTCTGTGAGCAACAGGAAGAGACAAAATGGTTATGTTTAAAGCTTCAAAGTACCACAAACAAGAGGCATCTTCACAACCAGCGTTCTGACAGCATTGGTTCAGTGTACTTCCCTTCATCCTTACAAAATCAGGAAAAACTGTGGTGCTTTTTTCCTTTTGTCTCTTAACTTTCCACACATTCAACTACAGAATACCAAGAGCTGCAGTGCATCATCACATGAAGATGGGGAGGGGCAGGGGAGTGAGAAGAGTGAAAAGGGAGGGAGAGATACAGAGACACTGCCCTTGGCAGGCTCTGCACCAGCCATACAGAGAATATGCATAACGTGATGCGGGATTTTGTTGCTCCAGTTTGTGTTTGTTGTTTTTTTTAATTAAAAAACATTATTCCTGCTAAGGCTGGTTGTGCAAAGTTAGTTTTCAGGAACGACAATTCAGTCTGACTCTGTTCCTGCAGACAGACTTCCTACTGATCCATTTCTTACTAGCATCTTGCTGTAGTTTTTCTGCTGTTCTTCTTTGAAAGTATCTTTGACTTTCGCTCGTTTTAGACCTCCATCCCTGGAACAGAGCAAGAGAGAAAAGTAACCCATCATGATTGTTACCACTATTGTTATCAAACTATGTATTATATTAACTATCTTGGTCAACTCTAGGGTTTTAACCTAAAAGAAGGCTTTTCTTCAGAAATCTAGATTATCCAAGTTTAAGTATGTTTAAAAAACGTTTACCATAAGCCATACTACTTATGCAATCCAAATTGAGTTTAGCCCATTAAAGGAGTCTATTCATGTTGGTAAAAGGTTGTACCTACCATAGAAATCTTTGCCAACCTGGGATGCTCCTGGGATGCTTCCCTAGACTGTGAAGGCAGTCAATCTTGTGCAACACCATAGCTTGCCTTACATCACTCAGATAGCCAGCTGGGCCTCATACTTGAATCTGTTTGCATGTTCTCTTCATCAGCATCTCGCTTTCAGGTTTGTTTCATACTGTCCTACGAAATCTAGGCATTATGCTGCTACTCGCAGAGCCAGGACATGAGAAAGTCAGAGCAGAAAGCCTCAAGCCCTGTGTTTTATTTTTTGTTGTTCATCAGTTTTGCCAAGTAACTTCATTTCTGCTCCTTAATCTCAACACAAGTCTCAACATGAGAAACAACTGTGAAGAGGCTCTCTTCAAAAGCATCAAGCCTTTAGGTGAAACTTGCTGCAGGAGAGCTACACGCTCCAAAGACTTCATGCACCTTTATTTTTACTTTTCACATACATGTGAAGTTACTCCCTCATTTTCTCCTCAGTGGATTAAAATTATATTGAGTGTTTACTGTCACCAAAGCTAAGGGAAGAAGCACCTCTCAAACTGACAACAGATAGACCATGAAGTCTAACAAAAATGGCATGACTCACCAGGGAAGTTCAGTCAGTCCTCCTTGGCGAGCAATGGCTGACCTCACTCTGTTGGCAAACTGAACAGCATCTTCGCCTTCCTTCAAGGGTCATAAATTCAACATAATCAAAGCAGAGAGAAGTGAATTGAAACAAACTTCCATAACACTTTTCATCTGCTGCCTCATCAAATCAGCTCACTGCCAAATGATCTGTCCCTTATCATGCCAACACAATCTGATGTTCCAATGTGATAGTAATTTAGTTCATTTTCCCCCCCAAAGTGTTGAAATTAGGGGAAAGTTTTGCTCCAACAGGATGGAACATTAACAGCATTGCTACTGTGAATAGCAGTATGTTTACTGCTATCCTTTGCATATTTGATGCACTGCTGATGGTACCAAGCTGCATCAGGAAAAGCTAAGTCAAATCATACAAAGTCAACACTAACAGAAGTCCAGTACAAAACTCTGATTTGGAGACATGGGGTGGGTAGGGGCTTTGGGGAAAGAGGAGTAAAAAGAGGTACTTGCAGACACAGTTCTTAAACAGTGCAGTCAACCAGATGCTAGATTACCTTTCTAACCATTGGTGGCATGTACCACACATTGCAAACAATGGCCCAGCTGGTCATTATTCGCAGCAGATAGCTCACGATGTTATATTTGCTGCTGTTCCAGAATGCATCTCCAAACTGAGGATCATACTGTAAGGGATCACAAAAAAAAAATGATAAAACTCTTTCC